TATAGCTCATGTTTAATGGTCCATATACTAGTATATAAGATTTTTAGAATTTTACTTTTTTAAAATAAAAGTAAAATGTAAGATCTTGAAGTTAAGATAATTAACTCATCTGATTTGCGGATTTGCTCTTAACTACTCTACATTGTTATATTACAAAAAAATGTAAGTGAGTAATTCTAGGTACTCCTGAGGCATACAATCCATGAAGCAGGACGAGATACACTCCTATTGCTTATCATATCATTACAGAGAAGGTACTATTGTCGCCTTAAGCTGAGTTCAGTTAAGCTAGTCAATGTTCCCTGTCCCCTGAGCTGTGGTGATTAGATTAGGGACAGTTGTGTGTCCTAGTAAAACAGATGATGCATGAAGGAATGCAGCCTCCTCACCACTGAGCAGAAGCTACCAGAAGAGTCATCCGTTGTGTGGATGTATGGAGGAAGGATGTGAGCCTGGAGCTGCTGCCATGAGGGGCTCTAGCTTGGGGATGAAGCAACCACAGGAAGGGAGGACAAAGAGAAAAGGAGGAAAAAGGAAAGTGAGGCTGATCTCCCTGGTGATAATCTCTAGATCAAACTGCTCCTGAAGCTTATTTACCTATGGATTTTTTTTAGCTATGGGACCCACTAAATGCAGTTTTGGGTTAAGCCCATTTGAGTTGTGTTCTCTGCCACTTGGACCAAAAGATTGTTAACTGTTATCCTCAGTGTAGGGATAAAGAAGCTTTACAGTTTGCCTACTGTTCATAGGCTGCTGGGGATCAGCTGTCTACCTTCTGAAACTGCTCTCATTACAAATAAAGGCTGTGATATCTGGACATCTGCTCATGGCCAGTGCTGACAGGTCTCCTGAGCACATGCAAGCTGCACATTCCAGTATCCAGGAGAGGGGACTGCACAGGGGCCTGTGTGCGTGCCTCAGGCTAAACTTTCAGGACTGACCCCGTGGGATGAGATTCCAGGTCATCAACACCTTCCTATAGCAGTGGCCAAGCATCTCATCCTCAAAAGAACATCTCCAGCAGCTAGTCTACTAGGATGTTTCACAGCATTGCCAGAGGCCTCTTATTTTGTACTCTAGTGAACCGCGTGATTCTGCAGGCATTCCTTTGAATCATTCATTCAGCTCTCCTGCTTTCTCACTCCAGTCTAACCACACCATCTTCTGAGCTTGCTTCTCTTTCAAGGGGTTTACACTTGGTGTCCTGCTTCCTGCATACTGTTCTTCCGGATCCCCACAGAGAGGCCTCCTCATTTCCATCCACTCCCCGCCTCCGCAGCGTTTTCTCTGCCTTACTCTGCTTCATTTTCCCACTACCTGACACGTGTTCTGAGCTTGTTCATATTTTCCCTCCACCACTGGAATAAAAACTCTGTTGGGCCAGGACTTCGTCTCTCTTGTTCACTAGAGTAGTTTCAAGTTACTAAAGAGCTCTGGAGTTTGAAGAAACGTAACATTTATTGTCTATTATGTACTGGAGGCTTCAGAGACGTAGCTCACTGACTCTTCACAAGTGATTATTGACATTCCTACAAAAGAGGAAACAGATTCTGAGAAGTTAAACAATTTTGCACAAGAACATCTAGTTATTGAGGGTACAGCCATGAAGCAGAGTCTCCCAAGCCACATGCCATTGGTTAAATTAGGTAAACTCCTTGCTGCAGCCACAGGCTGGCGAGGGAAATGCGAGACAATAATGAATTTGCAAGTGCTTTGCAAACTGCGAATACTACCACTCCTGGCTTCCATTTATTGTATATCTCCACGTGCCAAATGCTCAGCACATATTATCACATTAAAGTCTCAGAATAACTCCTCCAAGGAGGCATTTTTTCAGTATTTCCATTTTGCAGTTGAGGAAATGGACTCAGAAAAGTGTTTTGCTCAAGGTCACAACTGTGACGAGAAGAGATTTGAATCCTGGGTGGTCTTAGGTAAGAAAATTAGAAGCTGAGGCATAAATGCCTTAACCTGAGAAATGTCTAGCCAGTCTCTCAAAGATGGACACCTGGGTGCCTCTAACATACCCCCCACCCCTACTCCTGGGGTGAACACCACTGTACACGTGCCTTTACAGAGCTAAATGTGTTTGGGATATGACCTTAGGACCAGAATTATGGAGTCAAAGTGTTGTGGGTACTTTGCCAGGCTCGGGGCTTCATATCTGCTCCAGGTGTGTCTGGCTCCTCTCTCCCTTCCCTGGGATAAGCCCACACTCCCATGTGAGGCCCACTCTGCCCCTCCTGAGAGCTGGGGCTAAGAGCCCACCACTCTTTTTTGGAGCCTCTGGAAAGGAGGAAGGTCCTCTCCAACTGAGAGTTCAAGACTGAAATAGCCTGTTTTATGGAAAACCGGAAGCCTATGGAATGCAAAGACTGCACAGTGAAGTCTTCAAGAATGTCCAGGCCGCGTGGCATCAAGGAAACGGCTGGTGAAATCACTCAAGGCATAAGACTCCCCCCTTCTTGGGGCTTCCTTTGGGCCCCTTAGCGGCCTGTCCCAGGCCCTGTAGCTCAAGCCTGGCTCTTTTAGTCCCTTCCCTTCTCTGGGCCTATCTCCCCCGCAGATTTATAGGGGAGTGTTAGATGACATCATGATTGCGACTTGTAAACTATGAGGTGCTAGACTTAGTTGAGGGGCTATCATGGCTCCAAGACTTGACAATTCCTGGGGTCGGAAGTAGGCTGCTGGGAGCTAAGTCTGTGTAACTACAATTGGTCCATGCCTCCCAGTATAAGCTGTTGGTAAGAGCTAGGCTCAAACCCTGGCTCTGCCACCAGCTAGTTCTGGGACCTTAGGCAGCTGACTTCACTTCCCTGCACCTCAGTTTCCTTAACTGTAAAATGGGACTAATAATAATACCTACCCTGTTGCTCAAAGATTACGGGATGGTGTGACCAATTTGGAAAACAGCTTGCCAGTTCCTCGAAAGGTTAAACAGTTACCATGTGACCCAGTAATTCCCACTCCTAAGTATTTACCCAAGAGAAGTGGAAATATATGTCCACACAAAGGCTTGTACCCAAACGTTCATAGCAGCATTATTCGTAATAGCCCCAAAGTGGAAACAACCCAAATGACCATGACAGACGAGTAGATAAACAAAATGGGGTATATCTATATGATGGAATATTGTTCAGCCATAAAGAAAGGAATGCAGTACAGTACTGATAAGATGCTGCAACATGGATGAACCTTGAAAACTATGCTAGGTGAAAGAAACCAGACACAAGGGCCACACATGGTATGATTCCGTTCACATGAAATGTCCAGAATAGGCAAATCTATAGAGACAAAAAAGCAGATTAGTGGTTGCCAGGGACTGGGGGAGGAAGGATGGGGAGTGACTGCTAATGGATAGGAATTTCTTTTTGGGGCTATGAAAATGTTCTAAAATTAGATTGTGGTGATGGTTGCACAACTCTATAAATATGCTTAAAACCATTGAATTATACACTTTAAACGGGTGACTTTTATGGTATGTTAATTGTATCTCAATAAAGTTGTTGGGAAAAAAGATTACAAGAGAAAGTAGATAGAACTTGGGGCAGTGAGTGGCTTAATGAACTGTTGGTCATTCTTATTAATTAGATCTCCCATGAGCTAATTTAAAGCCCCGAAAGTACAGAGCTGGGGAAGAGGCTGCCCAATTTCTGGCTCAGCCTGGGTTTTTAAGCCGCTGAGTGTCCCTGGGGGAGTCCTGAAAGCCCTTCAAAATGAATGGGTGAAACAATCCCCACCCACGTCCCTGGGGTCTCGCGAGGAGCGAGGCCTCAGGAGGCGGATGCGGAATCCCCAGCGGACGCCCTCGGCCTCTGCCTGCGCGGCGCTGCAGGTGACTGGCCGGGACGGGGCCAACCCGGAAAGGCCGAAAGAGCTCGTTCAGGTGAGCTCTCGTGATTGGCAGCCCGCGGAGGAGGGCTCGGGTGACGGCTTCCCCGCCCCCTCACGTCGGGCCGGTTGGCGCCAGCTGGGGGGAGGTAGGCGGGCCCCAGGGTCCGCGGCGCCCATTGGGCGTGGGGGGAGCTCCCGGGGAGGGCCTAGGGCCCCGCCCCCGCCCCGGTGGCGGCCAATGGGCGCGGCGCGGGGGCGGGGCGTCGGTGGCGTCGGCGGCGGCCGTGCAGCTGAGGTGGCTGGGGTGGCCGCTGAGGCTGAGGCGGCGGGCGCGGCCGGGATGGCGAAGAGCCGCGGAGAGAACGGGCCGCGCGCGCCCGCGGCCGCGGGGAGCCTGTCGGGGACCCGGGAGAGCTTGGCCCCGGGCCCCGACGCCACAGCCGCCGACGAGCTCAGCTCTCTCGGCTCCGACTCAGAGGCCAACGGCTTCGCCGAGCGGCGCATCGACAAGTTCGGCTTCATCGTGGGCTCCCAGGGCGCCGAGGGCGCGTGAGTAGCTCCGGGGCTCGGGGCCGGGGGCCGGGCCGCGCGGGACGACTCGACGCGGACACAGCCGCCCTCAGGACGGACCGACAGGCCCCCCTCCCGACCGGGAACGGC